TTTTTTTTTTTATGATTTTTAATCATCGATAGAAAGTACTTCTAGGCCAAGTACTGGGAGGCCAAGGTGGGTGGATTGCTTGAGCTCAGGAGTTTAAGACCAGCCTGTGCTAGAATGAGATACTATCTATACTGAAGAAAAAAAAAAAGGGAAAAATTAGCTAAGTGTGATGCTATAGTCCCAGTTACTCAGAAAGCTGAGGAAGGAAGATTGCTTAAGCCTAGGAGTTTGAGGTTGCAGTGAGCTTTGGTGAAGCCACTGCGCTCTACCTGCTCATAGCCTTTTTCTGATGACAGGTGTTGTTCTAGTGCTTTGGAAAGTCCAACATGCCACAGGTTAACTTTGTCAGCCTGATTTTATGTTTGGGAGATATGCAGCTTTTAGTTTATAGCATTAAGTTGTAGGGATTTTTTTTTTCTTGGTCATTCAATTCTGAGCTTTTTTTCTATGGAATTTTACATTGACTGCTATTGAATAAAAATTATAAGGTTCAGGTGGCACCCGTAGCTCAGTGAATAGGGCACTGGCTACATACACTGAAGCTGGCGGGCTCGAACCCCACCTGTGCCAGCTAAACAGTGAAGACAACTGCAACCAAAAAAGTACCCAGGCGTTGTGGTGGGTGCCAGTGGTCCCAGCTACTTAGGAGGCTGAGGCAGGAGAATCACTTGAGCCCAAGAATTTGAGGTTGCTGTGGGCTGTGGTGCAATAGCATTCTACCGAGGGTAACATGATGAGATTCTGTCTCAAAAAAACAAAAAAAATTATAAGGTTCATCAGCTACATGAGCATTATATATGGGTTAATTTTCCTGAATTGTGATTATTGGATATGAAAATTATTAGTATATTTAATGATACGTATTTTATTTTGGACAATTTTAGCAGAATGATTACAGGTTAATTAAAAGGAAAAGAAAATAGGCACAAGTGAAAATAGTAAGGGGTAAAGAACTTAAAATCTTGCAGTCAGAGGCAGTTACTATGTGAAATGACAATAACAGAAATACTTACTGTGTATCAGGCAGTGTTCTAAGTGGTTTGCATATAATTCACTTAATTCCAAGTATGTTTTAATAAGTATTTTTCTGTGCTCATGTAAAAATAAAAATGAATGGGATTATATAAGAGAAATTATTTTATATTTATGATTTTCCCTTAACATTATGCAGTTACGATTTTTAACACCTACAGAAGATTTCAATCTGTGGTGATGAACCTGTCAGTATCACTTTTGTGTCCTTGTAAAACTAATAGAGTTTAACATTTATGATAATGATGATATGATTTTGTGTTCCTACAAATAGTGTTATTAGGGTGATGCCTATGGCTCAAAGGAGTAGGACACCGGCCCCATATACCAGAGGTGGGGGGTTCAAACCCAGCCCCAGCCAAAAACTAAAAAAAAAAAAAAAATAGTGTTATTAACTAGAAAGTCAGTAAAGTATAATCTATTCTTTCTTCTTTTTTTTGTAGAGACAGGGTCTCACTTTGTCGCCCTCAGTAGAGTGCCGTGGTGTCACACAGCTCACAGCGACCTCCACCTCCTGGGCTTTGGTGATTCTCTTGCCTCAGCTTCCTAAGTAGTTGGGACACAGGTGCCTGCCACAACGCCTGGCTATTTTTTTTTTTTTTTTTTTTGGAGACACCCTTAAGCTGTTGCCCTGGGTAGGGTGCTGTGGCATCACAGCTCACAACAACCTCCAACTCCTGGGCTTAAGCAATTCTCTTGCCTCTGCCTCCCAAGTAGCTGGGACTACAGGTGCCCGCCACAATGCCCAGCTATTTTTCAGTTGCAGCCATCGTTGTTTGGCAGGCCTGGGCTTGATTTGAACCCGCCAACTCAGGCGTATGTGGCTGGCACCTTAGCCGCTTGGGATCCCAGGCTATTTTTTGTTGCAGTTTGGCTGGGGCCAGGTTTGAACCTGCCACCCTTGGTATGTGGGGCCTGTGCCCCACCCACTGAGCCATAAGCGCTGCCCAGTATAATCTATTCTGTCATGTCAAAAGAGGTTCAGGTAGTGCTTTAGGTAGTTTAGATTTTTTTGAAGTACAT